GCCCCATACATGTGTGAACGGAGAAGCTGGCCTCCTGCTTCCAGGGGTGCCACCGCCACTGCCACTGTCACTGCTGCAACCTCTGCCTGGCATCCGGCCCGAAACACCCCTGCCTGCTCTCTGCTTCCTTCTCCACCCCAGCTTGCGGGAAAAGAGGAGACCCCGGGAAGAGGCCGAGGCTGCAGCACCACATGGCCCAAAGCGGTGCACAGCACAGCTGGGCCCCAGAGACTGACGGCCTCTTGCTACTGTGGGGATTTCCTCCTCAGAGTGAACAAGCAAGAGAAGTCCCTGCATCCGTTCACTCTCCTCACCTCCCATCCTTCCTGGGCACTGCCCGCCTGGCATCAACTCTTTTTTTTTTTGAGATGGAGTCTCTGCTGCCCAGGCTGGAGCGTAGTGATGCGATCTCAGCTCACTGCAACCTCCGCCTCCCAGGTTCAAGTGATTCTCCTACCTCAGCCTCCTGAGTAGCTGGGATTATAGGCACGTGCCACCATGCCTGGTTAATTTTTGTATTTTTAGTAGAGATGAGGTTTCCCCATGTTGGCTGGGCTGGTCTTGAACTCCTGATCTCAGGTGATCCACCCACCTTGGCCTCCCACAATGCTGGGATTACAGGCGTGAGCCACCACGTCCAGCCCTGGCATCAACTCTTGAGACCAATCCCTTGGCTGCCCAAGCATACCCCACTCCCACTTCATTTGGGTAAACCACTGTTGGTCTCATCTTTAGTACACAGAAGATACATGTTCATGACAGGAAAATTAGAAATATACGAAAGAGCAAAATATTTTGGTGTATATCTTTGCAAATTTTTCCCCTGTACATTTTTATGTAAATATAATTTGAGTTAGATGACACCATCATACACATCCTGCTTTACAGGCTGCTTTTCACTGAGTGATGCATAGAAGCTGTACACAGTACAGGTTTACAAAGCATGTTAAATACTACATGTCTCAGTATGATTTGTAATAACTGCATAGTATTTACTTGAATGGATAGACTATAATATGTTTAACTATGACTGATGGGCATGTAGATTATTGCCACATTTTCACCATCATACTCAACACTGTGATGACACCTGTCTCATATACCTCTTTGTTGTACTCGTGCAATTTCTTCCTCAGGCTACTTGGCGGTGGGGGGAATTGCTGGACCAGCGGGCCTGCCCTTAAGCCTTTTGATACATACAGAAACTCAACCTGTCGAAAGATTCCTGCTTTCCCTTCCCACAAGAGCCACCAGGAAGCCACTTCTGGAGGGGTCCACATTCCATCCTCCAAGGCTGCTTACATCTGTAGCAAGGGTCTTCCTGGCTGTCACTGAGTGCAGGGCCACTCTGCCCTGCTGTCTGTGAAGGGCTGGACAAGGGGAGGGGGCGGTGGGTCTGGGAGGAGACCTAGGTCCCAGCAGGGGTCGGTGGCTTCAGGCAGTCACTCCCTGGTGGGGTGTGCTGGGCTGTCACAGGGTGCCTGGGCCTGATCCTTGTTGAGGATGGGGGAGGAGCAGGGCTTGTCTGGGAAGACTTGGGTCTGCAGGTCTGTGCCTGGCTGTTGGAGTCAGGGGAGGGGAGCGCCCAGTAGGAGCAGGGCTGGCCTCGACATGCTGGGCCCTGAGGGAGAAGCAGGGCTTAGGCTGGCAGGAGTTGGAAGGGCATTTCAGCTGGGTGGACCAGCATGAGCCAAGGCACAGGCATTCACCTGGCAGGGCTACCTTCCAGGGACTCCAAGGCACATGGTCTGCTTGGAGCACAGTGTCGGCATTGGGGGGGAAAGAGGCCGACTCAGGGGACTGGTGATTTTGCTCCCAGTCTGAGAAACAGTGGGGAACCATCCGGTGCTGACTGGGAATTGAAGGCTGGTGTGGGCCAAGTGGGATTAGAGACCAATGAGTGTTGCCTGGAAGAGGCGCAGATACAGGCAGCAGGCCAGGGACCAGGGAGGAGGTCACAAGGGATTGTGGCCTAGACCAGGGCAAATTGGAGGGAGAAGCCAGCTCAGCAGATGGGATGTATATTCCAAACTCATTTGGAGTATAACTCATTTGGGGTGCCCACCCCACCCCACCCCATCCCATCCCATCCCATCCCATCCCATCCATCCCATTCCATCCATCCCATTCATCCCATCCCATCCATCCCATCCCATCCCATTCATCCCATCCCATCCATCCCATTCCATCCATCCCATCCCATCCCATTCATCCCATCCCATCCATCCCATTCCATCCATCCCATTCATCCCATTCCATCCCATCCCATCCACCCCATCCATCGCATCCCATTCTACCCATCCCATCCCATCCATCCCATCCCATCCCATCCCATCCCATCCCATCCCATCCATCCCATTCCACCCCATCCCATCCATCCCATCCCATCCCTCCCATCCCATCCCACCACATCCCATCCCATCCCATCCATCCCATTCCATCCCATTCCATCCCATCCCTCCCATCCCATCCCACCACATCCCATCCCATCCCATCCCATCCATTCCATCCCATCCCATCCCATCCCATCCATCCCATCCATCCCATCCCCTCCCAACCATCCCATCCCATCCATCCCATCCATCCCATCCAACACATCCCATCCCATCCCACTGCCTGACACTCATCACTTTGAAGACTCCTTGTCCCAAAGAACTGCCTTACACTTCATCGTATGGAAAGACTCTACTTTGGCAGAGATTTTTCTAACTCTTTCATATTTATTGTCTCATCAAAAAGGAAATTTCACTTGTGAGACTCAGCTAGGTGTGAGGGAAAGGAGCCCATGAAGAAGCACCAGCCCAGGTCTTTGCCTGGCAATAAACCTGGAGTCTTCTGAATGGAGTCTCAGCTATAAAGACGGGACTGAAGGCAGCATGGCACCCTCTGCAGGGGACCGATGGTGTTCCCACCCAGCCCTGTCCTCGCTTGCCATGCGACCCTTTGCCTCTGTCATTCTGCATGTGCAATAGTGTCTGTCTTGACTTTGGAAGTGGCTTATTTGGTCCTGATTTGTCAGGAAACTTCTAGGCAATGTGGCCATCAGGTTTGACAAGGGGTAACTGATGAGTCCTTGTGCCTAGTACTGGGCCTGGGATGGAGTCCACTCCCCAAACTGTGGATGACTGTCACCTGCTTGCCACATTCATATGTGGAAGCTGGTGGCTGCAGTCCCTGAGGCCTTAGAAGGGAGTATGTCTTTGAGGTGCCCGGCGCAAAATAAGTCATACTAGCTGGTACAGCCTAGCAAGGTTAGAAGGAACCTAAAGACGAAAGACTAGGAGGTCCTCCTGCACGTGAAAAGCTGAGGCCCAGATGAAATGAGGAACTCTCCCAAGGTCTGTAGTCAGTCAGTGGCACCCAGAGACTCTGCCCATGTGCCCTGCCCATGGGGCCACTCCACAGATTGCTGGGATGGGGACAGTTGGGCCTGTATGGCCCTAGGATCACCTGTGGAGTGAGCTCCACTCAACAGAAGTCTAACGTGGCAGCTTTGGTTCGGGGCTGGGCACGTGGGGCTCCCATTTGCAGTGATGAGGTGCCATTCCTGGCACACAGCAGGCTCGGGCTGTCTGGGCTGCTCATTCAGTGCAGTTTATGGAAGAGCCGGCTCCTGCTGATGTGGCGAATTTGGTTTGCTCTCGTCCCCCTGCCCTGCCCATTCGACTGTTCCCCTGACCTCTACAGAAACACGTCCGGGCCCTGCCAGCTGGCAGCAATGCTGAGCTGGTCAGACCCTAGCCCTGGAGGGGCCCAGGGGATGGAAGACCCTGGAGAGAAAGGCTCTTCTGCTTTGTGACTATGCCAGCACAGCCAGGGCCCTACTTCCTGTCATGCCCACAAGCCTGAGTCCCCAGTCTCTCTTTTGAGGCTCAAGGGGTCGGCTGTGGCCACTCAGGGCTCCCAGCCTGGAGAGCCAGCTTCATCACCCTGGACCCTCCTCCGGAGCAAATGGCCCTTGAGACCACCACAGCTAACCCTTCATGGGCATGAGAGGGCAGCACTTGGCTCAAGGGCAGAGAGGCTGAAGGCAGTGTGGCACATTCTGGGCAGCATGAGCAGCATCGGGCTCAGGGGGCAGAGCAGGGCGAGAATACACAGAGGAAGAAGAAGCAGAGCTCGAGGCAGCTGTGGGCGAGGGGCGTAAGGAAGCCCTTACCACAATGCCACACTCGCCTGGTCCCTGAGGGCCACTAGGATTTGGCAGTGGGGCCCTGGGCTTCCCCACTGAAGGTGGAGCTAACCCCTGAAGGAAACAGGGCTGCACACCCCAGACCATTCTTGTGCTGTTTGAGGACCACCCACCGCGCCTCTCCTAGCAGATGACTTGAGAGCTACTGCTGCTTGGCTCCTGTTCAGGTGGTGCCAGGTACTTATAGGAACGTTGGCGCATTCCATCCTCACAGCAGTCCTGAAAGGTAGAATTTTTTTTTAACTATCATTTTACAAATGATGAAACTGAGGCAGCTCAGAGAGGTTAGCTGAGCTGCCCAAGGTCTGTCAGAAAACTCCTAAGGGGTGAGAGGCAAGGTCCAACCCCAAAGCAGCTGGTCCCCTTGCCCCTCCCTCCCAACAGGCCATCTGCCTGCCCTGAAGCTGTTCGGCTTTAGATGCACTCTGTCCCACCCTCTTGAGTCCACCGGTGCCAGCTGTCTCCCCGACACTCCCCAGCCTGAGCCAGGCCGTTAGCACTCTGTAGGAGGGCTCATGTTCTCCTGTTATCAGTGATCGCTTTGAACAGACAGTCCCTGGCAGCCCCTGAGCTCCACATTCTCTACGTGAGCAGCCCTGGGCAGGCAGGTGGGTGTGCTGCTGGGCAGCAGCAGGTACAGTGAGTGCTTGCCCCTGGCTTCTGCCCATACTTAGCACTCCACCAATGCTTGCCACCCCCAATGTGCAGAGGGCAGTCTGGATGATCTTGGTGTACCAGGACACATATGGTCACCTGCAAGACACTACAGATGAATGAAGTGACAGCATTTGCTTGCCTTTATCCCCAGAAGCCCTGCTGAATCAACTGAGAAGAGACCTGCGGAGCAATCACCATGAGTATCTCAGCTCTTGGAGGCAGCACCAAAGGTGAGGCCTGGGCTCCCTGGTGTCCCGGGCTCTGCTTGGGGCTGTTTTCTTCCAAGCCTGCCCCTACAGGCCGCAAGCACTGTCCCAGCAGCAAAGGGAGAGCAGCATACTGGGAGGACTGGAACGGAGGCCGAGGGTCCTGGGGCTGCGTTCCTCTTTTGAGGCTGTTGGCTTTTCCTACCACAGGGAAGCCTCTGCCATCAGGTGAGGAGGAGCGCAATAACGTCCTCAAGCAGATGAAAGTGCGAACCACGCTGAAGGGGGACAAGAGCTGGATCACCAAGCACGATGAATCGGAGGGTCGCACCATGTAAGGCAAGGAGGCCGGGAGGGACCGCAGCAACGTGGGGGCGTGCAATCCGTGGGGGCCTGACCATACCTGGGGATGCAAAGGGGCTTCCACCGTTCAGAGCTCCACCAGGCCATGTAGAGGGCAGAGCATGGGAAAGGCTATCCAGCAATGTCACAGGGTGGGAGGGCCCCTGGTTGCCTGGGAAGGAGAATATGAGGCACAAATGGCAAGACTGGCTGGGCAGCCTCTAGGATGGAGGCCACAGGGTGGCAGGTGGCAGGGACCCTTGGAGCCACTCTTTCAGGATGCCTCTTTCCCCCAGAGAGCTGCCCTCAGGTCGGAGTCGTGCCACATCCTTTTCATCAGCTGGGGAGGTTCCGAAGCCCAGGTAAGAGGTGGTACTCAGGTGGCTGGTGGGTCAGCCCCAGGGACTCTCCTAAGGCTTGGGGTCAGCCCTCAACAGGGAGGGGTGGGCAGTCCACAGGGGACAGGGATGCAGCCCCAGCCAAGGGTCTGCAATGAGTAATTTGAAATCTGCAGGAAGGGGAGTGTAGGAGTCACTTGGTCCAGGCCCTTGGCCTTGCTGTGTGGCTGTGGGGCAGCTGACTTCCCTGCTGGGCCTCCATGGCTCCAGCTGTTAACTGGGATTGAAGTTGTCTTTAAGAAGACGATTACTCTGACCTCCCACCCATTCCCTGCAGGGAGTGAGACTGCCTCTGAGATGCTTTGGGCAGCTTCCAGAGTCACAGTGACTCACTCCTGCAGGTCGCCCTGACTGCTTGAGTGTACTTGGGACTTGGCATGCCTGTAGAGAGGCATGAGTTTGCTCTGACTGTCTCCCAAGTTTATCGTGACATATTTTGTCAGCTGACCAAGGAGAACTGGCTTCTGTCTCTTTTGGGGACTTTTCCATAACAGTGTTCAGAGGGGCTCTGAAGCGTAGGCACACCCTGCTGGCATCTGGAGGAACTGCTCCTGACAGAGAAAGGGAACTGAAATTCAGGCTTGCTTCTTGCTCCAAACAGCTGACAGGTGGCTTCTCAGGGGGTGGTAGAGGCAGTGGCAGCCTCTGGAAGGGAGGGCCTCAAGTTTACAGCCGGCACACAGGGCTGCCTTTAGTAACTACGGTCTCTCTGTCGCCCCTCGATGACTCGGCTCCCACTACCTGCCAGGTCCCATGCTGGGCACAGAGGATGCAGTAGTGGCCAAGACAAAGGTCCTGTCTTCGGGAAACTGACATCCCAGCAGGGGGCTCAGGCAGGACCCTCATAAACAGTTGAATACAAGAGCGAGAACCCCCACGTGTGCCTGCAACATGGCCACCTCTGGGAGGCTGTCTCCTGTTAGGGATGGAGATTGTGGGGATGGAGACTACTGGGGCTCTGTTGCCCTTGACCCAAACCCTGATGCTCCAGCCCAAATCCCATCCATTGCAGGACAGAAGGGTCTACCCTGACCCCTTGACTCCTCCCCTAACTCTGAGGAGGACTCTTTGCAGGGCCCCTTAACTCCTGCCCGAGGCCAGAACTTACAGGCCGACCACACCCGGCTGTCAGCTCCCTGCCTGCTCACCTTAGCTGCCCCCTGAGTTATCTGAGCCCCCTCAGTTGCTGCCAAGCAGAAGGTCTCAAACACCTGGAGCCTAATGTTTCCCAGCCACTGAACAAGCCCTGGCCATGCCCTCTCCTCTCAAACTTCCACCAAGACTTGGGGTGTGGGCATGCAAGGAGCTGGAGCAAAGAGGGCCCTGAGGGACAGGAAGGGGGACAACTGGCTTTGGTTGGCTGCTGCCTGGGCTCTCACCCTCAGGTCCTCATGCACCTTCCTGGTGGAGGCTGTTGAGGGAGATCAGGTCAGGCCCCGGGCTGAGGGGAAGCCTCTGGCTCTGACTGGGGAGCCTCCAGCCTGCACTGGTTCAGCCCCAAGCACAGAGGATGGGATGGCTGTTAGCTGAGAGGAGCGCTCCCTCGGCGCAGCACTGGGGCCCGGCTGGCCAAGGAGAAGCTGGACTTTGGAGAGGCCATCAACCTGCCATGAGGAGTCACCTTGGGCTGTTTTCCTGGGGGAGCATGAAGGAAACAGGCAGAGTGGAGCAGGCACCTGACTGGGGGCACAGGGGGCTGGCACCCCTCGTTTCTGCTGTACTGGGACACCTGGAGCACTTGCCAGCCAACCTTATTTGCTATAGTTAAGGGCAGGATAAAGTAGGATGACCTGAGCCCTCCAGCAAACCTCGCTTCACTCCACCCCTCCTTCCCTTTGGCAGGCCTCCGAGCACAAGGGCTCCGACTGGCTACATCATCCGGTAAGTGACCGCAGGACTCTGCCGGCTTTCCTGTGCCCACTCGTACCACCCCTTGACTTCTTACCCCTCCAGCCCCTCCAGGGAGCTCACCAGCATCTCCTGGGCTCTCTTTTAGGGGAGTGTTCACCAAGCCCATAGACAGCTCTTCCCAGCCCCAGCAGCAGTTCCCCAAGGCCAACGGGACTCCAAAAAGGTGTGTCCATGGGGTGTTGGCCAGTCGGCCAGTGGGGAGGTGTGAGGGCCTGGTCTGGGCTCGTGGCAGAGAGAGCGCTCTGCCTGTCAGGAGTGTGGGGCCTTGGAGGTGCCAGTTCTCATCCTGTGTAGGGCAGGATCCTGGAGAGCAGGGTGGGGTGGCCAGAGGAGATGGGTTGGGGTGGGACTGGCAGTCCCAACTGGATGTGTGGGTCTCTGGGAGGTCCTGGGCCACTAACAGTGTCCTTGTCCTGGGGTCAGTCCTGGCTACTGGGACAGAGAGGTGCAGGAGTTTGGGAGGGGCTGGGTGTAGAGTCCCCCTAGCCTGGCAGTGGGCACCCTTGACTTGACTTGCTGATGGCATTGAGAAGGCTGAAGTTGCATGTAATTCAAGCACCTTGGCATCAGACATTGCCTGGGGCTCCATCAGACTGGAAAGGCCAAAGGGATCAGGAAACAGGAAGCAAAGACATAGGCAAGAGCCCTCTGGGCTGTTCCCTGAAGCTCGGTGGGATTTGCCTATGCAGCAGGGGCTGCCCTGTTCTGAGCAGCACAGTTCTGGGTGTCTGTCAGGGCCAAAAGCAGAGAGGAAAGGCTCCCAGGCAGTTCCTGGCCCACCTATCACGTGTCCACTGGGCTGTATGGCCAAATCTGGAGGCAGGACGGAGCCTGCAGGTAGATACATGGAACATTCTCCTCTCTAGTGCTGCCAGTCTGGTGAGAACAGCTAACACTGGTCCTCCCCGCCCCTCCTCCTCTGGCTACAAGATGACCACTGAGGATTACAAGAAGCTGTGAGTATGCAACACCAGGCTCACCGTGGTTCCCTCCTCCAAGGAACAAGTCCAAACTCTGGGTCCGCTGAAGGCAGCTGGCTACTTGCCTCCGAGCGCAGCCCGGGAAGTCCCGCCTGCCTGACACTCCCTGCCAGTTGCAGCTGTGGCCTGGAGCCACCAGAGGGTAACAAGTCCCAGAAAACTGGATGGCAGTGCACATTGCACGTCTAATCTGAGGCAGAGGAGGGACTGCAGGAAGCTTGTAGGAGGGGCCCCACGGATCTGGGGAAAGGATCATGGGTCGTGAGGCTGCTGCTGGCTGGTTGTGCTTCCTGGGCTTGGCCCTGCACCCTGCCGAGCCTCAGGTGCTCTGCCTGGCTGCGCTGGGCTGGGGGCCTGGGGATCCTCAGGGTGCTGCTGTCAGTCTGAGCATCGTGTGCCTAAATCTGAGCTGCTTCTTGGATAGAAACCTTTGGGGTTCCCCTTCGTGCTCCCCTTGGGGTCCCTTTCAAAGCCCCCCACCCCCCACTGTATGCTCAGGGAGGGGGGTTCTCTGGACAGAGGTGTGAATTGTGCCTCTAGTTCCCAGGGGACCACATCTTTCTGTTGTTTGTCCCTTGCCTCCACCATCCAGGGATGGGGAGCATCTGGGTAACCTTTCTAGGGAAGGAGAGAGGCTCAAACAGGGAGGGAGGGGAGAGCTGGCTCTCAAGGAGGAACAAGTGGCATGAACTAAGGCCCAAAGGCAGAGATACTGACTTGCCTTGTCACTGTTGTTGAAAGCCAGGAAGCCAAGCTGCTGAGGGTGGCAGCCTATGACAGAAAAGTGCCTCTCCCCTCTCTTAGGGCACCCTACAATGTCAGGCGCAGCTCTACATCAGGGGACACCGAGGAGGAGGAGGAGGTGCCTTTCTCCTCAGATGAACAGAAACGGAGGTAACGGAATGGTGCCTTTTGGGCATCCCAGGGGGCACGGCAGGAGCCTGAGTCTTCGAAGACTGCTGGAATGAATTGAACTGGTTGGGGTGACAAAATGCACAACACGTAGGCCATCAGCGGTAGCCCATGGAGCATGAGAATAGGGGTCATTCTTTGAGTGCCAGAACCACCCACTCAGTGTTGGGCCAGCTGAGGGGCCCTTGAGAACCTTCTGTGGGGTAGAACCTACGTACTGTGCGTCCAGGGAAAAACCTCATTTGGAGGCTCTTCAGGGCTCTAAATCGGTTTGTTAGAAAGGGCCCTGAGACAGTTGGACAAAAATATTCAAGGAGAAGCCAGTACCCTCTATCTGCATGATCTGCATGCCTTGGGGGCAGGGGTTGACTCCACAGTTCTGAATGCCCCTGGACCCCAAACTGAGCCCCAAGCACGCGCAGCAGTGGGAGTGTGCCCCATGCTGCTGAAATTCTACCCCAGTCTCTGCACCAAGTTGCCCTCATCCACGCAGGCCAGCAAAGTTCCATGGACCCTTGCCCCTCCTCAGTCCTTTGTCCATGGGGACTGACCACACACCACCCAGTACTGGTGAACTGTGACAGGGTTTTTTAAGCACCTTTTGTATGCCTTCGGCTTGGGGCCTGTACAGCAGTTGGGCCCTGAGGAAATAAAGCCCTCCCCTCTCTGGGCTCAGCCAGCCACCAGTTCCGTATCTGCTGACCCATCTGTGGCACAGGAATCACAGCAAAGCCCCACTGCCAAAGGCCCTGGCAGATTGGCTATCCTCAGGGGATAGTTCACAGTGGCAGGGGCCCCCAGGCCTGGGTGGAGCAAGGAAAAGAGCCAGAAGCTAAGAGTGGCCTAGCATTGAATGCCAGCTCTGCCACCTGCTAGGTGAGTGCTCTTGGGCAAATAATGAAAGCTTCTTGGACTCAGTTTCCTCATCTGTAAATTGCAGAGGATACTAGCACCTACTTTCCTGGATTGAGAAGAGCAATAAACCAATGCGAGGACATTGGCATCTGGCGCAGAGCCGGGCACATGCCACACACTTGATAAACGTGGGCTGCCCTTCCTTCAGTTTCTACATTTCCTTTGAATAGTCCTTGGAGCAGGTGCAAATCTGGTTTCTCCCATACCTTGCCTCCCTGGGCTGGCCCTAAGTCATCCCGAGTCCATCCCAGGCTAGGCTGGCAGAGCATGTCCAGCTTGGCACCCATCAGATGCTCCCCCACCCCGTGTCACCCCAGGTCAGAGGCTGCAAGCAGTGTTCTGAGGAGAACAGCTCCCCGGGAGCACTCCTACGTCCTGTCGGCAGTCAAGAAGAGCACTGGGTGAGTTGCCACCAACTGGCTCCAGGCTCTAGGACAGCTCTCAGCTCCTCAGAGCTCCAGCCTTCTCTGGCTGATGAAAGGGTGGGTGGAGAGATCACTCCCAAGGACCTTCCTAGCTGAGCCTTCTTAGATTCTCAGATGTACTTTCTAGAAAATGGAGAGGTCTGGCAGTTACCACCAGGGAAGGTGAAGTGCCGGGAATGGGAGAGGACCCAGGACCCCCTGGGGTAAAGCAGTCTTGATGTCACCTGCCCACGGGCTCTGCCCAAAGCTTTGCCTTTCTCTTTCGTTTCAAGCAGTCCTACCCAGGAGACACAGGCGCCGTTTATTGCGAAGAGGTAAGTGTCATCAAGGGACATCTTGGAAGCCTGTTACTGGCCACAGGAAGGCCTTCCGTCAGCTGGGGTGTAATGTGGGAGCTGTGTAGAGGGGATGTGGATGTGGGGGCTACTGTCCCTGAGCAGGGGAAGTTGTGAGGGGCTGGGAGCTTCTGTCTGGAGGCTGTGGTAGCATATGTGGTAGCATATGTGGTCAAGCTCTTCCATTTGCCAATGGCTAATGGGGCTGGGTCCCTGACCCAAGATGGAGCATTTCCAAGGCCCTCTGGGAGTTGTTCCCCTGCCCCTGTTGCTTGCCTCTTGCCTTACCTTCTGCTGTCACGCAGGATCAAAACCTGGGCCATCAGGAGAACTTCCCCTGGGAGGTGACTGTGACATTGGAGATGGGCCCTAAAGGGTGAACAGGGCTTAACAGGGAATGATCAGAACGTCAGGACACTCCAGCTGACTGAGGGAGGGGTGTCACCATTAGTTGAGACAGGGCACCTTCTGGAGGAGGAAAATATTCAGGGGAAAGCAGGAAAGAAAATTCTGGAAAGTTGAATTTGAGGGACTTCCAGTTGAGTGGACAGGGAAGGCCTCTCTCCATGCTGAGGTGGCTAGCTGGGGACTGAAAACCCAAGAGAAGACAGCATGCCAATTGCCCCAGGCAGAGGGCCCCATGGTGCCCAGGCCCGGGGTGGGACTAGCTTGCTGTGTTGGAAGACCGGAAGGTTGGCAGGAATACAGAGAGCAGGGATGGGGTCAGCACAAAGGAAGTGACAGAGAATGGCGGGGGGTCTTCCTGGTTCCATTTGGTTCCTGTGGTTTCTGTAACGCAGTACCACAAACTGAGCAGCTTAAAAAACCAGAAAAGACTTATCTCCCGGTTCTGGAGACCAGAAGTCCAGATCAAGGTGTTAGCAGGGTGGGTTCCTTCTGGAGGCTCTGAGGGAGAAACCGTCCCAGGCCACTCTCCTGGCTTCTGGTGGTGGTTGGCGATCCTTGGCGTTCCTTGGCTTGTACCTGCATCACTCCAGTCTGTGCCTCTGTCTTCACATGGCCTTCTCTTCCCTGTGTGTCTGTGTCCAGATTTCCCTCTTCTTACAAGGACAGCGGTCATTGGATTTAGGACCCATCCTATTCCAGTATGACCTCATCTTACCTGATTACATCTGCAAACACCCTATTTCCAAATAAGGTTACAGTCACAGGTTCCAGGGGACACGAATTTTGGGGGGACACTATTCAAGCCAGTATGCTGTCCTTATCCTGAGCTGGAATCACTGAACCCCCAGCCTGGGCCACCTCTTGGCCGTGATCCTGAAGGGTTGGGCCAGTTAGACACCACTGGAAGCATGTCCTTCAAGGCCTGCAAGCTCCAGGGCAGCCAAGAAGACCACGAGCACCATTTCTCTTCTTGCTCAAAGGGTGGAGGTGGTGGAAGAGGACGGGCCTTCTGAGAAGAGCCAGGACCCATCTGCTCTGGCAAGATCCACTCCCGGCCCAAACAGGTAATCCATTGCGCTCATCTCTGCCTAGGGCTGGTGGCTGCTACACCTGCCACTCAGTCACTAAGGAACCTCAGTCAGGGCACCTCCATGCTGGGCTTAGAGATCAGTGTCTCTATGTGCCCAGTGACAAGATGGGACAAAGAAATCAGTAAGGGCCCATCTGGCTGGATGTCCCAGGGCTGAAAGGAGCAAAACAGTCCAGCCTCCTGGGAGAGAGCACCTGGCTCTGGTCTGTTGAGTATGTATCTGTGTCACCTTAACCCTTGCACCACTGAGCCTGGTGGCAACTTGAACACCCCAAGAAAAAGTACCATCCTTGGGGTTTGAGAGGGCCAGCCACCATGGCAGTAGCCTGCCATTGTCAGACTTGCTCCTTGCACTCCAATAAGTTAGCCATGTTCAGCATGCCCAGGGAGGAGGCTCTGCCATCTCCAGAGCCTCTCACAGCCACCTTCTTTGCCAGTGCGGATGAAGGCAGGACCAAAGCGTCTCAGGCAATTTGGATCGGGTGCCTGCCGAGTATGCCTAGCCCCGGTGGGAGCCAGGAGCTCAGGTGGGTGCCGAGAGCTGACTCTGGCTTGTGAGTGGGTGTGATGGCTTCCCGCCAGCCTGGCTGGCTGGTTCTGCCAGCTGGAGAGGGTGTGGCAGTGGGATGACGGGGCAAGGACAGGCTGAGTGCTGGTGATCTCACTCCAGGAAGGGCCGTGATTTGTCCTGATTTCTGATCCCTGAGAATCTGGGCAGATAATGGTGCTCTCTTGTCTGTGGACAACTAATACCTTCCTGTACTTTGTGCAGAATGGTGCTACCAGTCCTGTAGGGAGAGCCACCACTGTTGTCGCTGCTGTTTAAAGTGCCTGCTGGATTGAGACCTTTGCTCAAATCTAGGTCTCCTAAGAGCTGCATCTCTGTAGCACCCTTGGAAGACCCCTGCATCCAGAAGGGGAGAGGGCCTGTCCCTACAGGTCACTTCCCAGGCCCCCAAGGGCTGTTCAGGCTCTCCTAATACCATAGCAATCCCCCAATTTGAGCTCCACAGCCATTTATAGACAGGTGACCAATGTCCTCAGGGTTACTTCCTCGGTGCTGCGAGGGAGACAGAAACACTGACAGAGGGAGCCAGGAGCACGAGGCCAGGTCTCTCCATGGCCCCAGGCAGCAGACTGCCAGGGTGCTCCTCCTTTTCACTCTCTCCGTCTCTTGATTTTCTCAGTTGTCTGACTCTCCCCATAAGAACTTTGGTCCATAAGAACCTTAGAAAATGTGGAAAAGAAGATTTGAGATTTCTTTACAAGGCAATATCTAGGGCAGAGGTCCCCAGTCTTTTTGGCACCAGGGATTGGTTTCGTGAAAGACACTTTTTCCACGGGACGGGGCAGGGGATGATTTCAGGATGAAACTGTTCCACCTCAGAATCCACCTTCATCATCATCAGGCATTGGATTCTCATAAGGAGTGCACAATCTAGATCTCTCACATGTGTAGTTCACAATACGGTTCGTGCTCTTATGAGAATCTGCTGATCTGACAGCAGGCAGAGCTAAGGCAGTAATGATCGCTAGCTTACCTCCTACTGTGCAGCCTGGTTCCCAGCAGGCCACGGACTGGTACTGGTCCTCAGGCCGGGGTTGGGGACCCCTGATCTAGGGAACTTGGCAATTGAGGGATATGGGGGCAAAGGCTGCCACAGCAAAGTATTATACCACACACTGGGGGGCTTAAACCACAGAAATTTATCATCTCCCACTTCTGGAGGCTAGAAGTCTGAGATCAAGGTGATGGCAAGATTGGTTCCTCTTGAGTCTCTCTCCTTGACTGGTAGACTCCATCTTCTCCCTGGGTCCTTATGTGCTCATCCCTGTCTGTGTATGCCTGCATCCTAATTACTTCTCGTTTTTTGAGACAGAGTCTCACTCTGTCGCCCAGGCTGGAGTGCAGTGGCACAGTCACCACTCACTGCAGCCTCGACCTCCCAGGCTCAAGAGATCCTCCAACCTTAGCCTCCTGAGTAGCTGGGGCTATAGGCACATGCCACCATAACCAGCTAGTTTTTTTTGTTTTGTTTTTTTAAAATTTTTTTATTTTTTGTAGAGACAGGGTTTCACCATGTTGCCCAGACTGGTCTGGAACTCTAGGACTCAAATCATCCTGTCTTGGCCTCCCAAAGTGCTGGGATTGCAGGCATGAGCCACCGCGCCCAGACCCTAATCACTTCTTTTAAGGACATTGGTCCAATTGGATTAGGGCCCACCCACTTCTTTAAAGGCCCCGTCTCCAAATGCAGTAACATTCTGAGGTCCTGGGGGTTAAGACCTCAACATATGAATTTTGGGTGGCACAAGTCAGCCCATAACAGTATACAGTTCTCGTTTCTCCTTATTTCTCTGTTAAAGAAAGGCAATAAATGGATTCAGGTGCCTTTTTGTTTGCTTGTTTTGTTTGTTTTTGAGATGGAGTCTCGCTCTGTCGCCCAGGCTCAAGTACAGTGGCGTGATCTCTGCTCACTGCAACCTCCGCCTCCCGGGTTCAAGCGATTCTTCTGCCTCAGCCTCCTGAGTAGCTGGGACTACAGGTGTATGCCACCATGCCTGACTAATTTTTGCATTTTTAGTAGAGACGGGGTTTCACCATATTGGCCAGGCTAGTCTCAGACTCCTGACCTCGTGATCTGCCTGCCTTGGCCTCCCAAAGTGCTGGGATTACAGGTGTGAGCCACCACGCTCGGCCTCAGGTGCCTGTTAGAAGACAATATAGGAGGCTGGGCATGGTGGCTCATGCCTGTAATCCCAGCACTTTGGGAGGCCAAGGCAGGAGGATGGCTTGAAGCCAGGAGTTTGAGACTAGCCTAGGTAGCCTAGCAAGACCCCATCTCTACCAAAAAAAAAAAAAAAAAAAAATTACAAATTAGTTGGGAGCATTGATGTACACCTGTAGTCCCAGCTACTTGGGAGGCTGAGGTGGGAGGACTGCCTGAGCCCAGGAGTTTGAGGCTGCAATGAGCTGTGACTGCACCCTTACATTCTAGCCTGGGTGACAGAGCAAGACCCTGTCTGTAAAACAAGAAGAAAAAAAGAGAGATAATGGAGGAGAATTAGACTGTGCTGTATTATAGATTTAAGAGGCACTTTGACATTTATTCCAAAAAATTCCTTTGGATGTTTAATACTCATCATATGGTTGTCATTGCAAGGTGGCTTTTTAAGTTTGCTCAGGCTGCCATAACAAATAAAGGCTAGAGATTCAGGGTCCGGAGCAAGCTCCCAACAGGAGGCTCAGCTTGATGCTTCTGATAGTTCTTTCCTCCAATTCTGGTCTCTCAATATTTGGAGCTCACCCAGGCAGCTTCCAGGAAAGCTGCTGGCTGATCCTGACCCTGGAGGGCCGTCTTCTCTGACCCTACCCCATTAGGTGCTGCACTGGACCAGGCAGCCATCATCAGTACTCCCAGGCCCAGCTCCTATCTGCCTGGTGTCTGAGAAGCCCAGCCCGTGAGGAGCAATGACTCAACCAAACTCAGGGTCCTGCAGCATCTCAGAAAAGGCTGGTTTGTGGCAGAGTGGAAGAGGAGAATGTCACAGCCTTGTCCCAGGCACAGACCCATCGAGGCTATCCTCTCCCCACTCCCTGCCCTGCCCTGTCTCCCTTAACTACAGTGCAAAGGTCAGCTCCTCATAACTCTTGCCCCCCTTGCAACCTGCACCCAGTTTAGGGACCCTCTCTTGGAGCACCCCTTCTCAACACCCCCAGACCTGGCTGCTTTACCCGCAGCTCTGGTCAAGCTTGCCTCACCTGACCAGCGCAGGGCCTCCTGGGTCCTGGTCCTAGGCTCTGCCCAGCATGCTGCCTGGCAGAGCGTCTGGGGAGCAGGGAGTAGGAGCACAGCTTCTGGCAGGGGACAAAACCCTGGCTTTGCATCGAACTGACTGTGTGACCTTGAACAAATCCCTTCATCTCTCCGTGCGTCAGTTTTCCCGTGGGTAAAATAGGGAGAGCAGTAATAGCTACTTCCCAAGGCTGTCTCAAATACTAAATGAGATAATGCACCTGAAGTACTTACCACAGTGCCTGGGTGCTGGTATCCTCTGGGGCGTGCTCTGGGGCGTGCTGAACTGCAGGACCCTTATTCAAATACAGGAAGAGATCAATATCTCCACCTGCCGGCATTTGAGGGAAATGCGGCCAAAGGCAGTGAAAACGTAGTATCCCTCCGCCCCACATCCCCGCCTCCTCACTCTTTGGCAGGACGAGTCACACACTGTTTGGCACAGGCCACAGTTGCTCACATTCCCACAGGTGGCTGTGATCCGTTTTGGGCCTCAGGCTTCAGCAGATGCCTGCCTCTCTTCCTTGAGTGCCTTCCAAGGGTGTGCAGCCTTCCAGCATGGTCCTGGACTTCAGATTGGACTAGAGGTGTCTGAGGTTGGGAGTCTGGGGAGGTGGTGGGGTAGCGAGTTGCAGGGGAGGAGAGACCCCTGTATTAGTTTACTGGAGCTGCTGTAACAAGGTACTAGAAACCGAGTGGCTTAAAACCACAGGCGTTTATCCTCTCACAATTCTGGAAAGGCCATGTTTCCTCCAAAGGCTCTGGGGCAAAATCTGTTCCATGCCTCTCTCTTACCTTTTGTTGCCCGCAATCCTTGGTGTTTCCTGGCTTGCGCCCACCTCACTCCCATCTCGGCCTCTGTCTTCGCACAGCCATCTTCCCTCTGTGTCTGTCCAAATTCCCCTAGTCTGACACCAGTCACTGGAGCAGGCTGGGGTGACACTTTGTTCCCATTTCCTCTCTGACAGAGCCAGAAACGCCAGTGAAAAAATATGTTGTGCTTACCTGTGACATCCCGGTTCCCTGGCACCACCTGCTTTAAATGAGGCAGCCAGGGGTTTTATACTGTCATCATAAATGACATCATCCTCAATAACGATCTCATCATCGTTATCACGAGAGGAGATGGGGAGAAGTCAGAGCTGTCTGTGTGTGTAGGGCCCCTCCTGGCTTTCCTGATGGGAGAGGCCTTGTCCTTGGTAGCCCTTCCATTTCCGTCTGGTCACTTTGAGCGCTCCAGGCCCTGACCAGGGTGGAAGTGGAGGGACAGAGATGAGCAGCCCACTGACCCAGCCCTCCATGGCTCATTTCTCACTTTCACCTTGGCCACTCCAAACCCTACCCCTCCTGGGACCCCTGACTGGCTTCTTTAAAGTTCCAGTCTGATCCTATAAACCCCCCACTCCACTTCAAGCCCATCCTGCATCTTCCCTTTGCCATACCAGATCTAGTCTGTACATTCAGGACCTCTGCCAGCCTCTACCTCCTCCTCTTCCCCTGATCTCGCTTCAGCTGGCCTGGGTCAGGCTATGCCTCCATAAAGCTTGTCCACTGCTCCCATGGTGAAACCTGTTCTGGGCCCTACAGCATAGCAAGGTCAGTTTCCATGCCTCTCTGCCCCCGTCTGACTTTGCTGGGCCCAGAGCTTCACCAGGGCAGGCCTGGGACTCAAGCTTGTCTGCACTTCCAGTGCCCAGGGACAGTCAAAGGCAGGAGTGACTGCAATGTGGCTTGGAATTAGGCTTTGCTCCATGGACCTGAGGAGGTCTAGTTTGGGGTGAAGGGTCCACCCCCACAAAGCCTGAGAGCTCTATATTCTCTCTGGCCCTGGCCACACCATGGCCAAACCTGCTGGGCGTCATGCCTTGCAGTACAGCCAGAGAATGCATCAGATTTGGAGGGATGTGTGTCTGGGGTGGCCTGTGGTCACCTGGGGGAGGGCTCTGAGCATGGCTGGCAAGAGGAAAGCTCAAAGGGGCCCTTTGTCCTCACCCCTGAGTCTGCGACATCCCCTCCCACTGTTTTTCATTTCAAATTTGGTCTGTGGGTTTTCTCAGTCTCTCATACCCCTCAGTCCCTACCAGCCCATGAATGCGGAATTACCCCTGGCCTCACAAACGGCCACTTTGGATGCCCTGGTGGGGCCACAGGCTGGGGCTGCCCCTGCAAATGGTTGGTAGAAACACGGGTTGGGAGCTTTCATTTCTACGAAGAAGGGCCCTTCCTGTGCCTGAGGGAGGGTTGGGCTCAGGTCAGGGGTGGGAGACTGGGGAAGTGGCCTAAGGTCAGTGGCCCGAGCTCAGCTGCAGCACCCACAAGGCTCAAGGCCAAGGAGGAGATGACAGCAAAACAAAAGGGGGCAGTGGGTCTGGGCGGCCCACCGCACTCACCAGCCCGAGAAGGGGGAGACTTTTCTCACCTGCAACCCACTGGGTCTCTCCTTTGGCCTGCAGCTCAAGAGGTGAGGAAATTGTCCGCCTGCAGATCCTGACACCCAGGGCAGGACTCCGCCTGGTGGCCCCAGACCTGGAAGGCATGAGGTATGGGGGTCCTGCTGCTGTCCTGGCTCCCTGCACATCATTCTAGAGATGGAGGTAGCCGCCTCAGGATGCAAATGATGAGGCCTAGGGTTGGCTCTGCCACTGTAGGGCCAACAGGTTGATGGGAGGCATGGTCGACCTGGGTTCTCTGCCCCATCTCATTCTTTCACTCACAAAACCATTATGGAGCAAGCACTTGGTCTGTGTAAGGACACAGGCCCGACCCTGGGACACAGTAGTGAACAGGACACCCTGGCTGGAATTGTCATCTGCCTGACGGGGGAGGCAGATGCCGACGTGAGCATGAACAAGGTCAGCCAGAGATGCTGTGTGCCAGGAGCCCCTGGGAAGTGAGAGCTCAACCCTGCCAATCCCTGAAGATGGGACCAGTCAGCCGTGCTGGGGATGTTGGTGGGGGTGGGAGGAGGATTGGGTCTAAGGAGCTCGTAAAGGCCACTGAGGACATTGCCCTGCCTGTGTGAGAGGGCCACTGGGAATAGAGTGGGGTCATTCTATCCCCTCCCACTGGTTTTCATTCCAAATTTGGTCTGTGGGTTTTCTCAGTCTCTCATACCCCTCAGTCCCTACCAGCTCATGAATGCAGAATTACTCCTGGCCTCACAAATGGCCACTTTGGATGCCCTGGTGGGGCCACAGGCTGGGGCTGCCCCTGCAAATGGTTGGTAGAAACACGGGTTGGGAGGTTTCATTTCTACCCAGAAGGGCCCTTGCTGTGGTCAGAGTCCACAGCTCTCTAGGCCACTAGGCTCTGTGCTGGGGAGGGGTGGGTCAAGGAGGCCACAACCAGCAGGGAGCACGAGGGGCTCAGCCCCTGCCCTGGGGTGGAGGACAGACAGCCAGGTGACATGCAGGCAGGATTCAGGGGCTGGGGTGGAGGCTAGGAGAGATCCAAGCAGGGAGACTGGGCCCCTTACCTTGTGAAGGCCAGAGACTGGGGAGAGAAGCGGGAGTGTACACTGAAGGTCATCCCTTCATCCCTGGGGTGGCAGGAACTTTGAGCAGAGGCCTCTCAACAGTGTCGTGGGTGGGAGTGCTTGAGGAGAGCTTCCCGGAGGAAGTGACACCCAAGATGAGTCCTGAGCGATCTCTAAGTCCCTTTACTCTCCTCCTTGGCTCCTCCCACTTTTAATTCTGCCCCCAAGGCACCAAGTCCTGCCCATTTTATTTTAGAGATGTTTCCATCCCTATTGCTCTGCCCCTGGCTCAGGCCTCCACTGCCACTCACCCAGTTGTCTGCAGCCGTTTCCTACTATCCCATCCCTGGACTCCCTTCCACATCTACCTGGGTGATGTTTTCAAAGGGCAGAAGTAGTTATGCCAGCTCTCTGCACAAAGCCCTGCAAAGCCCCTCCCACTATGCTCTGCAGCCTGAACTCAGTACCTGGCCCCACCTGCAGGCTCCTCCCTCCCTGGGCCTTTCTCTCTGCAGGCTGGAGGCTCTGCCTGAGATGCCCTTTCCCCTCTTCATTTTTCTGTTCCACCTGAAATGTCCTCTCTTCTGGGTCACCTCGTTCTCCTGAGTTTCTTTCCCAGGCAGCATCTGAGGGGCTTGTTGATTCTGCATGGCAGCATCCATTCTGCATGGATGTAGATACAATCACTATGCTCATTTTACAGATTAAGAAACTGAGACCCTGAATGGTTAAGTAACTTGCTCAAGGTCACATGGTCCAGAGCACGCAGATCCGCCCAGCCTGCCCTACTCCCACCTTCCACCTTCTGCACCATAGCTCATTGTACTAGTCGGGGCAGGGAGCAGGGGGACAGAGAGGGGTGATTGAAAGAGTTGGCATTTGCTGAGTGAACTCATTTGATGAGTATATTCGTAGGCATTGAAGTCAAAATTTCCAGGAGGGAGGTATTTGAAGGTTTGTGATTGAGGTTTGAGAGAGTGATCAGGGCTCAAGAGCTTTCCACGTTATATGCAGACAGAATAGAGCTGAAATCATGAGCGTAAACTAGCTTCACATGGGGCTCGTGGCGAGCCAGCGAAAGCTGGGCACTGACCTCACTATGCAAGTGGCAGCCACCTGGCCAGCCCTCCTGGGGACAGCTGGGTGAGGGCATTCACTTCTCACCATGTTGAGAGTGAGCCTCCTGAGGGCCAGTTGGGAGGTAGTGGGTGTGCAGGCCAGTACAGAGGAGAGGCGGGAACAAGTGGAGATCACTGCTTCAAGGGTGGCAGTTGACGCTTTGGGAGGGGAGGAGACAGCCCAGCAGGTGGTGGAGCACGTGAAGGGGAGGAGAAAAAGGCAGACACCAGGAAGGTGTGTGGCCAGGGAGGTAGGCAGGTCGTGTTGACAGGGTCAAGGGAGGAGGGGTGGCGAGAAGGCTGGAGTGGCCCACTGGGTCAGCAGTACTGAATGGTGGTTTGAAATAATGATGGAACTGTCTCTCCTGGAGTTGACAACATGGGGCTCCCTGATGACCTGAAGGAGAACAGAAGGGGGCTTAAATTAGGAGATTAGGATCAGTCTTACACCATAAAGGGATATAGTCCAGAACTCTGAAGTCAGACTGCCTGGATTCGAATCTGAGCTACTCCTCTTATTACCTGTGAAATTTGGGGCAAATCACATGGGCTTTGTGTGCCTCTGTTTGCTCACCTGAAAGATGGGCATGGGTGATGACAGTGCCCATATCCTGGGGTTGATTTGCAGAGTTAATGTATATAAAGTCATGAGAACAGGCTCAAATGCTCAATCAACTAGTAGCTATTGCCAGGCGCAGTGGCTCACGCCTGTAATCCCAGCACGGTAGCTATAAGACAATAACAACGACAACAACAACAAAAACAAACCCAAAACACAGTAGCTATTACTAATGAAGTTTTGAGAATTGGCCAATCTGTCAATCAGCAGGGTTTGTTTGTTTGTGGTTTTGTTTTTTAACAAACGTTTCAGGTTCAACCTCCCAAGTAGCTGGGGCCACAGGCACACACCACCACTCCTGACTTTCAAAAATATCTTTGTGGAGATGGAGTCTAGCTATGTTTCTCAGGCTGGTCTTGAACTCCTTGGCTCAAGTGATCCTCTTGCCTCGGCCTCTGAAAATGCTGGGTTATAGGCGTGAGCCATTGCATCTAGCCCAGTAGCAGGTTTTAAGCTCCGTGGAGACAGCTGGCATTTGAGGATGAGGTAACAGCCCACACCTGAGTGTGAATGGCTGCTGCATCGTTAACTTCCATTTATTTCCTCCATAGGTCTTCCCCAGGCCACAAAGACAAGGAGGCCCCCTGCTCCAGAGAGCTCCAGAGGGACTTGGCTGGCGAGGAGGCTTTCAGGGGCCCCAACACAGACGCTGCAAGGTAACTCAGTGCAGGAAGCAGACACTTCATTCCCAGAACATGGAGCCCACATACACCCAGCTGAAGGACTTCCATGGCCTCTGGTGCAATGTCAATGGATGCAGCTGGGGCCAGGATGGTCCTGTTCCCGCTGTTCCCCCGGTGCCTAGGGTAGTGCAGGTCTTTAATGAATATCTGTTGAAAGAAAGAATGAACAAATGAATGAGGCCTGGAGTGGGGTAGGCCCCTGCCATGATTCCTCAGGGAGCCAGTTGGAGAGCAGGACCAAACTCCAGGGCAGGCTATCCCCAGCTCCTGGCCTGTGCTGGGTTCCTTCCATTCCCCTGAAGATTCCACACTCACTATGCTTTTACTGCAGGACAAAGCAGCCCTGCCAATGGCCAGGGCAAAGCAAGGCCACCAAGCTGGCAGTCTGGGAGAGTCAGTGACCAAAGTATGTGGGCCCCCATACAGCATGTAGCTGAGACTTTCAGGATGACCTGTGGACTACGGGAGACATTGTGGCAAGGGGTCAGGGGTCCAGGATGGGAAGTTGGAGCCATAGTGGTGGATGATGAGTCCAGATGGGATGATTGTCCCCAGTCGCTCTACAGCCAGCCCACTGACCTGTCTTCCAAGCCAGACCAGTGCCAAATGTGTCTGGTGAGCAGTGGCTGCAGGCTGGGCATTTCCTCAGTGAGAACCTGGTAGCCAGTTACAGCTAAGAACCCACACACCCGTCTTCTCAGTGTGGATCCCTGGAGCCTCTAGCTGGGACCCTGAGCCCTGGGAATGAGGAAAGGAATCCCTCTATAGCTTATTACCAGCCCCACGTCTTGCCCCTTGCTCTGTTGGCAATAAGCCCCCACAATGAACTGACCTCCTCCTCACTTTCCACCTTGCTCCCAACCAACTCATCAGGTTTGGAAAAAATACAGAAATGCTTCCTGTTAGAGTTAACTTGGGCTTGGCTCAGCTCTGGTCAGAGCAGCACAGAGTAGCAGCTAAAGGCCTGTGCTTCTGGACTTGAGGCCCACTCTCATGGCATCTGGGTTAGATGAGATCAAAACACAACCAGAGTCAGCAAATACTCACTTCTCATAACAGGTCAAGTGAACAGTTGAGTGATGGCAACGTGGGATCCGGAGCCACGGGCTCCTGGCCTGAAGGCTTGGCTGCAGTAGACATTGGCTCTGAGAGAGGAAGGTAAGCTGCCCGGGGGAGGCAGGGTCTCTCATGCTCCTGGTGACAGAACAGGGTCAAGCTGCCAGGCTGCTTGGACTGCTGGGGGTGGGGCACTGGTCACTTCCTATGACTCCTGTCTATTGCTTCTCCCACACGCCCACCTTCCACCACATCCTGTGTCCTTGGGCTTTCCACTTCTTGGAATCTTGTTCATTTTTTCTGACCCCTGCCACTGGCCCTCAAGCTCCTCCAGAGTAGGCACTAGGCCCACTCACAGCTGGAGGCCCAGCCCCCACATGGTGCTGGTCCTGGGCTGGTCAAATGAACGTGTGGGGAATACATGAAGGGACAAACTAATGAGTGAATGACTGAATGATGGAAGAGTCGGCACCTTCTTACTTTTCGGTTAAGCTCTGAGGACCAGCTAGGAGGCCCTTTGCTCCTGCTTTCTCCCTTCTCTCCTTTTCCTGCCCCACCCCTACCCCGGTCAGCTCTGCTGTGAGGTTCAGGGAGAGGAAAAGCAGTAGCCCTGGAAAGACCAGTGTGTCCAGCTGGGCTCTGGCTTCTTGGACCTGGATCAAGTCAGGGGCCACTTTCTCAGGTGATTTGGGGAGTGGCACGGTCCCACTTGTCCCTAAGTGGTTCCAAACCAAGCCTGAATCATCCTTGGGGCAAAGGCTAGGTATGCAGATGATGGCATAAATAGTTTAGCTCCAAATTATGCTGGAGCCCTTCTTCAGAGCAGATAGCTAGGGAAGAGTGGCAAAGCCAGTGTCTGCAAAGAGCTACAACCGCAAGATATCATCTGCCTCCTGCATCCTACTGTAGTCTGGCCAAGGAGGGAATCCTGTAGGGAAGGCCCTGCTGATGCTTTCCTACTTCCCTCAGCATACCCAGGGCCCCTTTCCCTCACTAACTTCAATAGTTTGCAATTCATGCCTGGAACCAGAGCCTGACTTCTAAATCCAGGCCCACAAGTCAACACAGGAAGGGGACAGCAGGTCCTGGCCTCTGAAACCACTGTCTCTGAGCAGGTCCAAGGAGAGGCCACCAGAGACTCTGTTCTTTGAGCTGCCACTAATGGGGAGGACTCCGCTAGAGCCCTGTCCACGCAGCCTGCATCTTTTTGCCATCTGCAGAGGTGTTGGAGGGATCTTTCTAAAAATAAGCTAGATCACATTTCTCCCCTGCTAAAACCTTCTAGTGGCTCTCCATTTTCCTTAGAATGAAGTCCCAACCCTTTCCCATGACCCACTGGATCCTGCATGGCAGAACCTTTGGCCTTCTATCCAGTTGGGGCTCCCGCTACTCTCCCCATGGTAGTGCAGCTTGACTGGCTCTGCTGATGGCTGTCGCGAAGAGACTTCTGGTCTACTGTGATTGGGTGGCTCTTGTCTCCTCCGTGTCGCCCCGCCTGCTTATACACCCTCATAACACGAAGGCTGTGCTGTCCTCTGTTTCTTTAAAGCGAAACCAGGCCTCAAAGTTACTTGTAAAGTCATCTGAAGAATCTTCTAGATTTTCACAAATTTTAACCCAGTCTTTTACAGTTGTCTTACCTATATAGTCGTCCCTAGGTATCTGTGGGGGATTGGTTCCAGAACCTCGCTCATATACCAAAATCCATGCATGTTCAAGTCCCTGATATAAAATGGTGTAGCATTTGCATGTAACCTATGCACATCCTCCTGTACCCTTTAAAGCATCTCTAGATTATTGTAATACCTCATACAATGTAAGTGGTATATAAATAGTTGTTATACTGTATTGTTTAGGGAATGATGACAGAAAAAAGCCTGCACATGGTCAGTATGGATGCAACCATTCTATTTTAATTATTTTTTCCAAGTCCCTCCCCTCCCCTCCCCTCCCCCCTTCTCTCCCTCCCTCCCTCCCTCCCCTCCTCTCCTGTCTTCCTTTTTTAGACAGGGCCTTGCTCTGTCACCCAGGCTGGAGTGCAGTGGTGTGATCACAGTTCACAGCAGCCTCAACCTCTGGGGCTCAAGGGATCCTCTCACATCAGCCTCCCGGGTAGCTGGGACTATAGGTGTGTACCACCGCACCTGGCTAATTTTTGTATTTTTGGTAGATATAAGGTTTTACCATGTTGCCCAGGCTGGTTTGGAACTCCTGGGCTCAAGCAGTCCACCCACCTCAGCCCCACAAAGTGCTGGGATAACAGGCATGAGACACGGTACCTGGTCCCAAATATTTTCAATCTGAACTTGGTTGAATCCACAGATGTGGAACCCACAACATAGAGGGCTGACCACACACTTAGTTTGACCATGATTTTCAACAAACTCCTTTATTGTTTTTCCAAAGGCAAGGTTGTTTCTCATGGAAACAACCACTCTCCTTTTCCATTCATTTTCATGGATTTACTTAATCGTTGAACTTAGTGATTCTTCCCCATTAGAGGCAGCTCAAATAACTAAGTTACTGCCCCAGGGGCCTTTCCTTGGACCTGCTCAGAGACACTGGTTTCAGAGGCCAGGACCTGCTGTCCCCTTCTTGTGCAAATACAACTGGCATAAAGAGGTTTGGGACCAAACAAGAGCGCCCCTTAGTGAGTGTGCTGGTTAGTGGAGGGCACAGACTTGTATAGGCAGTGATTGTTCAGCATGCCGTGAGCATCAGTCTGCCTGGCTTACAGAGACACAGAGAATGTGACTCAACCCTGTGAAGGATGGGTAAGACATTCGCCACAAAATCCATATTGAGTGGGTGAATACAGGTGGACTGGGAAGGAGCACTGCTTCTACAAACAGCCACAGGGCCCAGTAGTAACAGGAACACATTAGCACATGTTATGGCCCAGGTATTATTCAAAGTACTTGGCATCTATGAACTCATTTACTTTTCTCAGAATACTTACGGGACAGACATGATTGGCATCCCTATTTCATTGATGGTAAAATTGAGGCCCAGAAAGAAAGGTCAGGTAACATGCCCAATGTCACACAGCTGGGTGACAGCAAAGCCATGATTTGCTTGCTAAACTTGGCTGTAGTCCCTACAGCAGAGGTTCTCTGAGACCTCCTAGCAGGATCTCTTCCTAGGCTCTGCCTTCCAATGCCCTCCTCTCTGCCACCTCAGCTTGGGTCCATGTAGGTTGGTGCTGGGCTCTCTGGGTAGGCATGGTCACTTTGCTGTGGGTGTGAGGAGCATTTGGCAAGTGCTAGTAAGGAACAATCTTTCTTGACTCCCACAAACCCTAAGGAGGTGTAGGTCAGGTAAGGATACGTCATGCTCAGGGTCAGGTTCCAGCCGCAGCTCAGGGCTGAGGGGAATGGTTGGACATGGGGCAGGGAGCTGGAAGAACACTCGAGAGATAGCGGGTAAATGAGACATGACTTTACTCAGCAGCAGCTCTCTTACACAGCTTTCTCAAACTAGCTTTCAAATCATTAGCAGCTTACTCTCACACTGTCTGCCCTGTCTTGGCTGCTTAGTCCGATGGCCCCCACGCACAGCTGCGTGGCCAGCTCTCCCTTGCCTTCAGGGTCAGCCGCTTAATTCTTTCTCTCCCTGGGCATGGGCAAACCAAGCTGTGTCCTGGTTCCCCTCTGTCCATCTGCAAAGACAGACAGCTCTTGCGCTGTCTCTTTCTCTGGGTTCCCACGCACCCGCCATGTCAAGCCATGATGAGCTGAGCCAAGCCCCAAGAGACATGTTCCCTGTACACAGCGTCAACAGGGCAGTTATACCTTTTACAGACAATAGTGGTTTAGAGCCAAGTATGAACTTACACAAACAGGTTATATAAGAAGTGGAGGTGTGCACTTGTGCACCAGACTCACTGAGTCATGCAGGCCTGGATATCCCCCTCTGCCTATTCCTTGACCAAAGCACATCCATGTACCTTACAGGATACTAGAACCCAAAACCAGGAGGGGACTTCCCCAGGGAACCCAAATTGGTCAGGGGCAGTGCTTGCTCTTGAACTCAGGTGCTGAGGCCATGTCCAAAGCTGACACGAGGTTGTCACACACAGTGGCATCGGTGCCACACTAATGCCAAGACTGAGACACCAGCCTTTACTGGAAGACACAGTTTCCCCCTTTCTGGTGAGAAGGCAGCCTGGAGGGAGAAGACCTGGGACCCAGGCTTCTTTGGCCTGAGATCTCAGCGGGCCTGTGTTTCCTTCCTCAGCTCCAGTGCCACTTCAGTCTCTGATGTCCCTGCTGATAGGAAGAGCGACAGCACAGCAGCCCGGGAGGATGCAAAGGCAGACCCAAAGAGGTAAGGTATGAGGAGACAGTGCTGAATGAGAGACGCAGCTTGGGCTGTGTGTCCATTGGCCTTTGGCTAGGAAGGCCAGCAAGGTTTGTGAGCTGGCCTGAGGCACATAGCAAGGGCAGAAGCCCCAACGGGAACCCTCTGGCTTCTGGGGCCAGGGAGCTTTCTACTAAACTCTGTTGCCTTGGCCAGGAAGTACACCATACTCAGAAAGGGTCTTTCAGTCAACAACCACTCTGACAGCACCTGCCTTTTGCTGGAGGCTGGAGCACACAGACAAATCAGAAACACCGCTGCCTTCCAGGAGCTCCCAGGCCGGGGGTGGGCAAAGCCTGGTTCAGATTAGAGCAATACATCAGCGCTAGAGGAGGGGAAGGGGGCTTCATGGGAAGGTGGCCTTTGAATGGAATGTTGACAGGTGAGGAGTCTTTCAAGCAGAGGGAACAGGATACGTAAAGGGCCCAAGAAAACCTGGTGTTTCCTGGGCACTGTATGTTGCTGGGTGTGGTCAGCGATGAGTGTCCTTGTCAGGGAGTGCTGGAAGAGGAGGCTCAGTGAACTAGGTAGGGCTTGATTGGCCTCTTGTACTGTTATATTGGAGCCTACTGTGTGCACAGCCCTCTACTCACAGCGTCTCATATGGTTCTCCTCACAGTCTCTCAAAGGTTTATGCCTAATTACAACAAAATCCAAAAGCCTGGAGCCTAGGTCTCTGTGCCTCCTGAGAAGGATAGTGCTCTAAATAAAACAGCCGCAGCTGAGATAGAGTGATGACGGTGAGGAGGGTACGACTTAGGTGGGTGGAAAAGGCAACTCAGGCGAGCTCCTCTAAAGATGAGAAGGAGCCAACTCTAGAAAGAATACGGTGAAGAGAGCTGTAGATAAGGAACCACAAACCAAATAACCCTGAGATGGGAACATGCTTAACATGTTCCAAAGGACAGAGTGGCTGGAGCTTGGCCAGTGAGGAGGGCCATAGATGGAGCAGGGCCTTGGTAAGCCATGATTAAGAGATTGGATCTTGTTTCAAGTTTTAAGCCAAAGGGGAGTCTGATGTGATTTAGTTGTTTAAAAGGTGAATGCATGTTTGCATTTTCATACCACATTGCTGTTGCTTTTTTACTTAAACCAAGATGCTGGGGGCTGGGGTGGGCAATGGATATCTAAGGTATGAGGCCTTAATATATTTCTTTTCTCATTCAAATTGCACTGACAATTAACAATCAGAGTGAAAACAATAGCTGACACCAATACTGTGCTGTGCCAGGTGCCTTACAGCCTTGCCAGCAACCCTGTGAGATGGGTAAGGTGGGAAACTGAAGCACAGAAAGATTACGTGACTTAGCCAAGGCCTTACAAGTGGCAGAGCTGAGTTCCAAGGGAAGAGGCTCTAAGAAAATCCTCAGGAGAAACTACGAAAAATTAGTTTATGAAATCTTGTCTTTGGAGCCTAGTCTCAAGACCCAGAATCAGTAACTTACAGCTGGTTAACATGGTTAACATGCTGTGTAATCTCACCTTAGTTCTCCCCAAACGTGGAAAAGGATAAGGCTTCTTATGCAACCTGACAGAGGAGAAAATTGAGGGACTCACTCCTGTGATGAACACACCTAGGAACAGAGCCCAGATCCAGCTAACTCTAGAGCCAGGCTCACACTACTTTCCTCTGATGTTTAAATGTCTGCAAAATCAGAGGTTTTTTTTTTTTTTCTTTTGAGACGGAGTTTCCGTGTGATCTCGGCTCACTGCAACCTCTGCCTCCCGGGTTCAAACGATTCTCCTGCCTCAGCCTCCTGAGTAGCTGGGATTACAGGCTCATGCCACCATGCCCAGCTAATTTTTATATTTTTACTAGGGATGGGGTTTCACTATGTTGGCCAGGCTGGTCTCAAACTCCTGACATCAAGCGATCTACCCATCTTGGCCTCCCAAATTGCTGGGATTACGGGCGTGAGCCACTATGCCTGGCCAGTACAGACTTTCTTGATTACAGTGTTTCACAACTCTGGCTGTATTTGAGAATCACCTAGGAAGTACTGAAACACACTGTTGATGAAAAAGGCCGTACTCTGTAACATATTTGAAGAATTTCTGAGCCAAATGTTAGGACTATGACCCGTGACACAGCCTCAGGAGATCCTGAGAGCATGTGCCCAGGATGGTTCAGTTACAGCTTGGTTTTATATGTTCTAGGGAGACATAAGACATCAATCAATATATGTGAGGTATACATTAGTTAGGTCCAGAAAGGCCGGATGCCTCAAAGCTGGGAGTGTGGTGGGGGTGGGGGTGAGGGTGGGGTTCCAGGTCATAGGTGGATTCAGAGATTTTCTGATTGGCAATTGGCTGAAAGACTTGTTATTCTCTAAAGACCTGCAATCAATAGAAAGGAGTGCCTGGGTTAAGATAAGGGGTTGTGGAGACCAAAGTTCTTATATAGATGAAGTCTCATAAGTGGCCGCCCTTAGAAGCAATAGATGACCAATGTTTCTTATTGAGACCTTTAAAAGGTGCTAGACTCTCAGCTAAACTCTTCAGATCAGAAAAAGCCCTGGAAAGGGAAGAAGATTCTCTACAGAATGTAAATTTCCCCCAGGAGAGACAGCTTTGCAGGGTTATTTCAAAATATGTCAAAAAATATATTTTGGTGTAAAATACTTCAATTTCTTTCATTACCTGCTCTTTGTCATGTGATGCTATACTAGAGTCAGGTTGGAATTTGGCATATTATTGCTTCAAAGAGTCTGTTTTGTCAGTCTGACTATCTCTCTCAATGTTAATACTGGTCAGTTGGGTGTGAATTCCAAATGGAGAATATATTGAGGCATGTCCGACCTTCCCCTTTCTCATCATGACCTGAACTAGTTTTTCACGTTGTGTCCCCTTGGCTGAGAGAAGTGTCCATTCATTCGGCTGGGGAGCTTAGAATTTTATTTTTGGTTTACAACACAACAAAAACTTTCCGAAGTCCCAGGTAGAGATTTGGATTTTATTTTTCTGGGGCGGGTCTCCATCATCTGTGTCTTTTTCAAAGCTTCCCAGTTTATTCTCTTTCCAGGCTAGGTTGAGAACCATTGTTCTCAGGTAGTGGTTCTGAACCAGGGGCATCTCCCAAACCTTCCAGCCTGCTACGATACAATGTCTGGAGCCATTTTTGGTTGTAAAAACTGGGAGTGGGAGATACTACTGGCTTCTTAAATGCAGAGATCTGGGATGCTACTAAATAACCTACAGTGAACAGGATAGCACCCACCCCACACCCCCCAGCACACACCATAGAATTATGGGGTTCAAAATGGCAATAGTGCTAAGGTTGACAAATCCTGCTCTAGAGCTTTTTTTTTTTTTTTTTTTTTGAGACGGAGTCTCACGCTGTTGCCCAGGCTGGAGTGCAGTGGCGCGATCTCGGCTCACTGCAAGCTCCGCCTCCTGGGTTCCCGCCATTCTCCTGCCTCAGCCTCCTGAGTAGCTGGGACTACAGGCGCCCGCCACCGCGCCCGGCTAATTTTTTTTGTATTTTTAGTAGAGACGGGGTTTCACTGTGGTCTCGATCTCCTGACCTTGTGATCCGCCCGCCTCGGCCTCCCAAAGTGCTGGGATTACAGGCTTGAGCCACCGCGCCCGGCCTGCTCTAGAGCTTTGACGAGCCATTTGGGAAGACAGAAGGGGCGGAAAAGAAAAACGGATGGAAGAGAACCGCAGCACTCGCCTTACCGGGAGTCTGGGTAGCAGGGACTGCGCCTGTGCGAATGCGCACTAGCCACCAGCGTACGCGACGCGTGCGCGCCTGTGCACCTCGGCTAGCACCCGCCCGTAGTGAGTACGCCTGCGCACGCCGCCATTTCTTGAAGCCCCGAACTCGGTCGCAGTGCCCGCCGGGAAAATGCGACTGTCCACAAAGTGAAATGGCCGTCTGGGGCGAGCTCGGCCTCGGCGGGGATTCTCCTGAGGCCATGCCCGCGCCGGCCGCCAGAGGTCGCCCGAGGATCACGAATGGGCCCGAGGCGCTGGCTGCCCCTTCCCCCGCATAAGGTCTGAAGCCGCGGCCAGAGTGGCCTTGGGGTGACCGCGCGTGGACCGTCCCCGGCGGGAGGAAGCGCGGTCCCGCGAGGGACCGAACGGGGCCGCTGCGACTTGAGCTTGTTCCGCGGGGAGCCCTGGCGGCCATGGCCTCCGGTACACCGGACATGGGTCGTCAGGGCTGCCCAGGGGGAGGGGATGTGGACCCTCCAACCACGCTGGGCCCTTGGGCTGACCGGGGCTGGTCTGTGGGGCTCAGTGAGGAGGGACTTTATTCCTAGGAGTTTGATGAGGGAGCGCCTTGGGGGTGGTGTCGTCCTGACATCCTGCAGGGCAGTGGAGCCTTACTTTCCCTAGGTTACAACACAATTTTAACTGTCCCAAACTGTGGGGACTCTGCCCTATTCCACCTTGGGCCGTTCCATCACACTACAGGGAGAGGCGGTATAGTATAGTGGTTGAGAGCCTGAACTCTGGTGCTTTGGGTTCCAATCCAAGCTCTGTCACTTACAAGCTCCGTGACCTTGGGCATGTTACTCATCTCCTCTGTGCCTCAGGTTCTTCACGTGTAGAATAGTAGTAATCATACCTCCTACCATATAGGGTTGTTGAAACGGCCAAATCGGTTTGTATATGCAAAGCGTGTAGGACATTTAAACCTGCAAGCTAAGTGAAGCAGCACCAGAGGAATATCTCCTGCTCTCAGAGGTGTTCAGGGATACTCGGAAGGCTGACTTTACCAGCTTTATTGGCTTGATTTCATTTGACATAACACGATATCTCATCTCCTTCCTACTAAACTTTTGTCATCAAATTTTACATATAGAACATGCTGTTTTCTTCATTATGTTGCAAGCATGGGCTTCTCAAGTTTATATTTTTTCTTCATGAGGATCAGGTGAAGTCTAGGCCCCACATTTCCTCACCACTGGCAACCGTTGTTGGCCAGTGGAGGAGTCTAGTGGAGGTAGTACAAGAGTGGAAGTGTCATCTGGGTGCAGTGGCTCACGCCCACCTGTAATCCTATACTTTGAGAGGCCGAGGCAGGAAGACCACTTGAGTTCCGGGGATTGAGACCAGCGTGGGCAACGTAGTGAGACCTCATCTCTACAAATTTTTTTTATATATATATGTGTGTGTGTATATGATATCTATCCATATATGTATATCATATATGATATCTATATATGTATATCATATATATGATATATATCTTATATATGTATATCATATACATATGTTTTTGAAACAGTGTTTCTCTTCTGTCACCCCAGACTGGAGTGCAATGGGGTGATCTCGGCTTACTGCAACCTCTGCCTCCTGTGCTCCAGTGATTCTCCTGCCTTAACCTCCCAAGTAGCTGGTACTACAGGCACATACCACTGCACCTGGCTTATTTTTGTATTTTTTTGTAGAGATGGGTTTTTGCCATGTTGCCTAGGCTGGTCTCAAACTCTGACCTCAACTGATCCACCCACTTCTGCCTCCCAAAGTACTGAGATTACAGGCGTGAACCACTATGCCGGGACTACAATTTTTTTTTTTTTTTTTAAAGAATGGAAGTGTGTAGAGTATGGTTATGTCAGGAATTGACAATGGCTGTACTAGGCTACTGGATCTTTGGTCCAATTACATTCAGAAGGAAAGGCTTCAGAGAAATCAATCCCAAATCCAAAGTCCCATTGGTCACCATCCCCTGTGTTACCTTGCCTATCTCTAACCACTTGACTTCCAGGCAGTTCATGAGGGACTCAGACAGGATAGCTGGGAAGTAATTCCCCTGGATGCTACACTGTCCAGCAGAGCTTCCTGTGAGTGTTTGCCTAAGATTTCCTTTTTATGACCCACATAGGTCATACCTACTAAAATCACAGTGGCCCTGCCACAGGCCTAGGAACAAAGAAGCCTTGTTCATCCATTTGTCCCTGTGTCACAGTAGAGCCCAAGTTTCTCTTTGTGGAGAATTCTGGCTCTATCCACAAACTTGGTGAGGGCAACCTCTACTAGTGTATTTCTGCAGAGGACATGGGACAGGACGGGACTCTGATTGAATCCATAGTAAAGCTAAGTCAGGGCTACCACAGTAGGGATACAAGCTCTTCAGGCCTTGTATGTTTGTCTTTGACTCAAGCAAGCATGTCACTGACAGAGATTGAGCGGGTGTGTCAGGGCACCCTGCTGGCAACCCTGGGACTGGTGTTACCTGTGCAGACAGACCACTTTTGGATCTGCATAGCGGGCCCTAAGGGTGGAAGCAGCACAGAGAAGCACAGGCCCAGTGGGATGGTTTCCCACAGTTACTGTGTGGCGTCATACTCACTTGCCTGCAGTTCTGCCTGGTGCAGCTGGAGGTGGCAATTAGCTTGTTGTCCCTGCTGGAGAATTTTAGTCTCCCCCACCTCCACCTGAGGCTGAAGAATCATATTGCTTTCAGGGCATACTTTCCAAAAAATGTGGCCTCTGTTGGCCTTGTTATTCCAGCTTGAAGGCAGGAAGCCTGCCTAGACAAAGTTAACTCCTATATACAAAGAGTCCCAGGGTAGTTTGTAGTGTGTTCTTGTCTCGGGGTAGCCCCCACTAGCTATTGAAGGCAGGCTGGTGATGTTGGGAAGGTTATATTCAGAGTGAGCTAGGATTGAGGTGATGGTGAAGTCGATTTTCATTCTGAAATGCTGGGCTCACTCTCTTAGTAGCCCAACTTGGTGTTTGCACCTGGCCTAGTAGACTCTGGAAGCAGTACCTTGCATCTCAAGGTGGGGCTGGTGATGGGAGGGGTGTGGAAATGGAGGATCAGCTAGCAGCCCCTTTCCCATGGTGCCCAGACTGGAGGGTACAGTGCAAGCATGGGGTGAGGCCAGAGAAGACCCCTGAAGAGCTTGATGCCTGAGACATCTGGGGGAAGCCCCGTCCTTCTTGCTGGATTCAGGGGTGGCAAAAGCCAAAAATTGGAGGGCTGGGTGCAGTGGCACATGCCTGTAATCCCTGCACTTTGGGAGGCCAAGGCAGGAGGATCGCTTGAGATCAGCCTGGGCCACATGGCGAAACCCCGTCTCTACAGAAAAAAAAATACAAAAATTAGCCGGGCGTGGTAGTGTGGACCTGTAGTCTCTGCTACTTGGGAGGCTGAGACGGGAGGATGACTCGAGCCCAGGAGGCAGAGGTTGCAGTGAGCCGAGATGGCGCCGCTGCACTCCAGCCTGGGCAACAGAGTGAGATCCTGCCTCCAAACAACAATAACAAAAACATCGGAGGCTTCGGCTTTGGCTTTGGCTTCGGCTTCATCTATTACACAGGGACGCCTTTTCAGTGGGAAGGGAGCAGCGGTGCTGGGCTCCTACCAAGGAGACTGTCTGTTCCCTGGACTTGGGGCTGTGCCTGGCTCCTTTCTGCCCCACTCTCAGGGATATGAGTGCCTCCAAGTCCACAGGAGGTGACAGCCAGCTTGCGTGCTGGGACTGAGGCAGGGTTAGTTTCAGAGCACTTTTTTCATAAGGGTCTTATTCTTCCTCAGGGCCTTGGCGGATTATGAGGGGAAGAATGTGGCCACCAAGGTCAGAGAGGCCTGGCAGGAGAGGCCTGGAGCCCCAGGAGGTGGCCAAGGAGACCCAGCTGTACCCACTCAGCAACCTGCAGATCCCAGCACCCCAGAGCGGCAGAACAGCCCCAGCGGATCTGAGCAACTTGTCAGACGAGAGAGCTGTGGCAGCAGGTAAGGGCTGAGCTGCAGTGGACTCTGCCTCTAGAGCCCGTGTTTTTGTTGGGGTCTGCGACCCAGGTAGGAACCACTTGCCCACACCCTGTGCCAATACCCAACACATTGCATACCCAGGTGCCTGTTCTGTGAGTGGGTCATGGTGGTGATTCCCTGGTCCTAGAGCAGTGTCATCAGGCTTCTTGTGGCTCAAGGGGCCGGGAGGGGACTGCGATAGGAGGATGTGTCTGTCCCCAGGTGTGAGAAGCCCTGGCTAATTCCCAATGCATGGGGCAGGAAGGAAGGCTGTCTCTCAGAGTACAGGTGCTCTACAGGTGGGGGTCCTGGGCAGAGTGAGGGCAATTTGTGTGGTGTGCATAAAATGCCATTGTCAGAGAAGGACAGAGTGTGAAAGAGCAAAAAAGAAAGAGGGTACAAGTGCAAAAGAGTGACGGAGTGAAGCAGAGAGAGAGAGAGGCCAGAGGGAGAGAAAGGGAGCATGGGTAAGCAGGCATGAGAGAGTGACACAGGATGTGACTGGCCATGTGTTGATGTGTGCCAGCGTGCATGAGCAAGAGGACAAGCATGCCTGTTACTGGAGCTGACCACGTGGCATTGGTGTGAGAATTTCAAGTCAGGCTCTCTTGAAGGCATCTCGCCTGCCAGCGCAAACACTGCATGTCCATGCAGCTCTGGACACGTCAATAGACCAGTGATTCCAGGGGTGCAAAGTGAACAGTTTCTTAAACAAGACAGAAATGTAGAAGGAGAGAGCTAAGACTCATATTGCCCCAAGAGAGGAGCTGGTGGAGTCCAGCAGGGCATTTGCTGTGGGGAGCAGGTGGGGCCTGGGGCTCCTTTTGCAGGGATGAAAGAAACACAGTTATCTGCCTTCTTTGTTCTGGGGCTTCGTGTACCACAGAGGTTCCATAATTATTAATAGTTAGATAGGGAGGTTATTTTTAGGGCCTGGCTCAACTGTTAGATAACAAGTTTTACCTTCTAAGAATATCTAGCCCATCTTTGACTCCTTGGCCCCAGGCCCTGGAAAGGCCCAGTCCAAAAAGAGAGTGAACAACCTTGGACTTCCTGTCACATCGTGTGGCTTCTGGAACTAGTCAGTGTTCCATGCAGTGAAGGGATATGAAAAGTGAGGCTTGTGGATGAAGGAGGAGGTGAGTGGTTCTGGGCTTTGTTTTTGTTTTGCAGGGGGAGTGTCAGGAAAGGCTTTCTTTACAGGGAGAGTGATGTTGGAGCTGGGTCTGGAAGGCTGAGGGAGATTTTGCCAGATGGATGTGCTTGGGAAGGCATTCCAAGTAGAGGCTCACAAAGTGTATAGGGAACATCCAGTCAGTAGCCATCACAAAGGAGGGCTAATCCAGCCTGGCTTGGCAGGAAGCACTGAGTAGGGGCTGGGCAGGCACCTGCTCCTAGGCTGAGGAGTGTGACCCACGTCCTGAGGGCCCTGGGAGCCACTGATGGTTTTCCTGCAGGAGAGTGCCACAGCCAGACTTGAGTCCAAAAAAGATCCCTCCATTGCCCTGTGGAGGACCAGGCCAGGGGAGTATATGACAAGGCAAGGCAAGAGGCCTTATTGGAGACTGTTTGTTTACACCAGGGCTGAGGTGATAAGGCTGCAAGTATTTTTGACTTATTAAAGGTAGAAGTGGGCTTGGCGTGGTGGCTCATGCCTGTAATCCCAGCACTTTGGGAGGCCGAGGTGGCAGTATTGCTTGAGCCCAGGAGTTTGAGACTAGCCTGGGCAATATAGCGAGACCCCGTTTCTACAAAAAATTTAAGAACATTAGCCAGGTGTGGTGGCACATGCCTGTAGTATCAGCTACTTGGGAGGCTGAGGTGGGAGGATTGTTTGAGCCTGGGATGTCAAGGATACAGGGAGCCATGTTCCTGCCACTGCACTCCAGCCTGGGTAACAAAACAAGATCCTGTCTCCAAAATAAAAATTAAAAAAATAAAGTAACAGTGAGGGAAAAGCCAAGGTTGCTTCCCAGATTTCAGGGCTAGGCAACTAGATGGGTGGTGACAGGAACTAGCTGGGGGTAAGGAGTTTGGGGGCAGGCCTGCTGAGAGATGCAGAGAGATGATAAGGTCATTGGGCCATGCCGAATGAGAAGTGCCTGTAGGGGGCTCCAGCCAATGATGTCCAGTAGATTACTGAGTAAACAAATCTGGAGTTGAGCAAAGATCTGACCTGGGGCTAGAGAGCTGGGAGTTGTCAGCTCATAGGAAGTCGCTGAAGGGAATGGATGAGGTTGCCTGGAGAATGCCTTTGGAAGGCAGTGTGTACAAAGCATGTATTCTCGACTTTTCTCTGCAAGCTTCCAGGGCCACTTGTCCAGCTAGGCCCTTGGCTGGGTGGGTAAGTCCACGTGGTTCACGGGTGCTGAGGGAGCCTTCTTTTTGGGGTGTACATCTAAAGCCACCTGCTTCATCAGCTGACATTTATCTCCATTTTCTGCTCTCCTTTTGTCTCAAAAAGAAAAAGAGGGGATATTAATTATCGATCCCCTAAAACCCTAGCTGAATATATAAAATGAAAAGAAGTAACAATATGAGAGAAGCAAAGGCAGATGGACCATAATTTTGAAAAGTAATACCGAAAGGTCTTAAGGAGGAAGAGGAGCTACAGAGAGGTATTGAGAAGGACAATTTTGAATAAATGGAAGAATTAGGAAAGACGACCGTCATGGAAACCAAGCCATGCTGAGCTAACTTTCCAGTGCGCTGTATATCCTGAAGTAGGCCCATCAGATCTGGCTATGTGGAACTCATGACTACCTTGAGGGGAGTAGGTTGGGGCAGTGGGAAAGGCTGTAGTTGGATTATAATGGATTGAGGAGGGAGCGGAGGATAAGCAGGTGCAGTTGGTGGGGTACACATTCTGAAACTGGCCATGACGTGATGGATGTGGGAGGGGTGAGCAGGTAACTACAGCTACAAGATAATGGGGAAGGTTTCCTATAGGTGAAAGCAACGTGTGCCTGTTAGGTAAAGGCTAGGCAGAGGGTGCCTACATGACCAGTACCCAGTAAAATCCTTGGACTCTGAGTCTCTAATGAATTGCCCTGGTTGACAGCATTTCACACTTGTTGTCACAACGCACTGCTGAGGGGAACTGAGTGAATCCTGTGTGACCCACTGGAAGAGGACTCTGGAAGCTTGTGCCCGGGTTTCCTCAGAAATTTGCCTTGTGTGCTTTTCCCTTTGCTGATTTTGCTTTGTATCTTTTCACTATAATAAACCATAGCCTTGAGTGTGATGATGTGCTGTGTCCTGTGAGTTCTTCTTGTGAATCACCAAACCCAGGGATGGTCTTGGGGACCCCTGACGCAGATGGGCAGGATCAGAACTTTATGCCATAACAAGGACTTTAGATTTTCTTTCAAGGGCAAAGAGGAGTCAGGAAGGTTTGAAGCAGGGGAATGATACGGCGAGAGTATTGCTTTGCAGTGGGCTCTCCAGTGGCAGTGAGAAGAGTGGACTGAAGTGGGCAGAGTGGAGCAGGGAGAAGAGGAAGTGCTTACAGAATCCTCCCTGTAAGAAATGATAGGGCCTGGACTAGGGGACTAGCTGTGGAGATGGAGACAGACAGAACTGTAAAACAAGTAGAATAGATCCCAAATTGGATGACAGGTAAGACTTGGGAGAGAGTGAAGGAGAGGGAGTGACAATTTAGAAAGCCGCATTTCTGGTCGAGTGACTGAGTGGAGTATGTGACCCCTCCTGGCTTAGGTGGTGGCCAAAGTATCTCTAACCTGCCACTATACTGCCTGCAGCTGACTGAGCAAATGCCTGGTCCATGGAGATCCCAAGCTGACAAGGGCACCTGAGGCAAGCCTCTGGCTTTCAGGTGGAGGCTCTGCCTAGGCTGGCCTGGCCGGATTGCCCTGGCACACTGTGCTGTTTTGCTGAGGCAGACAGCAGCACTCTGCAAGTGCTCTTCTCCTCTTCCTCTTAGTGGTCTAAATCCTGTAGCATGCTGGGGTGCGACTGTAGACAAATACCCTTTGCGGGCCACCTGGGTTCTCTATTTGCGGTCTTTGGGTCTGGTCACTGGCATGGCATCTCAGTAGGCTAGGTTCATCAGGAAGGGTCAACTATGTCATGGCACCTCATGGGAAGCATTTAGAGTCAGTGGGCCAGGGGCTTAAGGGCTGCTTACTGCTAATAGTTCTAAGTAGCAAGCATTCCCTCAGTCCTAGTCTGGGCACACGCCAGGAAGAAAGCCACTAGATGCACTCTCCTAGTGGATAACTAGCCTGGGGTTCCAAGAAGGGCAGAGACAGGCAGAGTGAGAGCCTTCAGAGATGTAGGCAACGATAGTAGTAGAACTTCCAGGGAGAGTAGATGGAAAAATGGAAAAAAATCCTTGTCATTATTTTTAAATGTCTGAATTGACCAGATTAGAATCTTTGAGAGTCTAGACACTAGGGAATTCTCATGGGTGGGCCAGTTATCTCCTCCCTCACATGGGGGGAGAGTAGATAGGACCCAGCATGAGAGGACCAGAGGGCAGTCAGTGCTAAGGGTAATACCTTAGGCCATGGGAGATTGAGTTTTTCTTCAGTTTGCAAGTTTTCACTTTAATATTCCACTGTTTCCATCATTTCAGATGACTGGGGATGATAAGGACAATGTAATTTAGGGGATAAAGGAAGAACTCATTATATATCTTGGGTGCCTTTACTGGGGAAATGGATTCCTTAGTCATTTGAAAGAAGTGGTAGAATTCCACATGTGGGGAATACTTGTTCTAACAAAAGCTTAATAACATTAGTGGCAATGATCCTTTTATATAAGGGAAAGCTTCAAGCCAGTGAGAAAAACATAAATAAACTAGTAAGAACATATTTATAACCATGAGATTTGGATGCAGAATAAAATCAAATTGGCAGTTAAGGAAAGGTCCTAACATCTGTATATTAACAATATTTCATCAGTGGGCAATGTGAATTTCCCATGGAAACCACTGGCCTAGAATACACTGGATACAAATC